AGTTTGGTTGCTCTTAAGCACACAATGATATACACACAAAGATAGTAACACTCAGTTCCACTATTCCACAATATCAACTTGAAACTAAATTTCGACATGCAAAATCAACCCCAATTTTTCCTGGTACGATTCCTTTTAGATTCGGTTGGCACATCCTTGGCACCAACAGAATAAGAAAATAAGTAAAAGTTTTAAGAGGGGTTACAGAAATGAACAACAACAAAGGATTTTGGATTTCACAAACCAGCAATTTTTTCTTCAATAAGTATAAAAACTGAACACTGCATATGTTTTAATTGTTGAAAAATGTCATGTGAGCCATTTGCTGGCAGAAATAATTCATTTTTAATGGACATAATAACTTTTCTTGAGCAATATATATTTTATCAGCTGAGTGCGGGCCTTTATAATTATTATTACTATTCCCATACAATTAAAAGCCTTTATGTAGATATCATTAAATAATTATAGATGTGCAAAAGAAATGCTCACCATTTTTCCAATCCATAAAATGACGATCGGAAAAAGTATTCATTAATTTATATTTACATTTCTAGCAATTAAATTAGCAATACCTGGAGCACAGAGGAAGGTGGGTAAAAAGCTTTCATAGTATCTTTTCTAATATCAAAGCTATAGTGACATCACATTTGTCATTTATGTTGACTTAGAAAATTATGTATCGTGATTCTGAAAGATATTCAAACTGACAGTCATGTGTGTGTGTAATATATGTATATGTCTTATATGTGGAAGAGATGTGTATATTATATACACATATATGTATGTGCATATATGTACATATATATGACATATAAGGTGTATACAGAAGGAAGGATATCCATGTTGTATAAAATAAACATATACACACACATATGCATATGATGGTGATGATAATGGTGACGATGATTATATAGCTGGCAAACATTTTAGTTCCTCTGGGACTCATTCTTGGTTTCCTTCATTTTGGGAGACCAAAATTACATAATTTCCTCATGAGACTTTGGAAACAGTGAAGCATATCCAAATTCAACTTAAGAAAGGGCACTCCTCCACTTTTCTTGAAGGAAGATGCTGGAGAATAAGCTCTCCCGCTCTATTTCTCCCTCTCACAGTGTGGTTGGAGAGGGATTTGCTTACTCTCCATCCATCAGTCAACCATAACTTCTGGAATGCTGGAGGTCACTCTGTAAGACCTCTGCTGGTCTCTGTGGAAACCAGGCTGATGGTGGATGTGCGACACGTGGGCTCTCTCTCTCTCTTTTTATATATAAGTATATATATATATAGAGAGAGAGAGAGAGAGTGAGAGCAGGGCAGAAGGGGCAGAGTGAAAGAGGGAATCTTTTATTATTATTATTATTATTATTATTATTATTATTATGTTATGTTAGTCACCATACAATACATGATTAGTTTTTGATGTGGTGATTCATGATCCATTGTTTTTGTATAACACCCAGTGCTCCATGCAATACATGCCCTCCTTAATACCCATCACCGGCCTAACACATCCCCCCAACCCCCTCCCCTCTAAAACCCTGTTTGTTTCTCAGAGTCCATAGTCTCTCATGGTTTGTCTCTCCCTCTGATTTCCCCCCCCTTCATTTTTCCCTTCCTTCTCCTAATGTCCTCCATGCTATTCCTTATGTTCCACAAATAAATGAAACCATATGATAATTGATTTTCTCTGCTTGACTTATTTCACTTAGCATAATCTCCTCCAGTCCCATCCATGTGGATGTAAAAGTTGGGTAGTCATCCTTTCTGAAGGCTGAGTAATATTCCATTGTATATATGGGCCACATCTTCTTTATCCATTCATCAGTTGAAGGGCATCTCGGCTCTTCCCACAGTTTGGCTATTGCGGACGTTGCTGCTATGAACATTGGGGTGCATATGGCCCTTCTTTTCACTACATCTGTGTCTTTGGGGTAAATAACCAGGAGTGCAATTGCTAGGTCAGAAGATAACTCATTTTTAATTTTCTGAGGCACCTCCACACTGTTTTCCAAAGTGGCTGTACCAACTTGCATTCCCACCAAGAGTGTAAGAGGGTTCCCCTTTCTCCACAACCTCTCCAACATTTGTTATTTCTTTCCCTGTCCATTTTTGCCATTCTAACTGGTGTAAGGTGGTATCTCAATGTGGTTTTGATTTGAATTTCCCTGATGGCTAATGATGATGAACATTTGGAAAGACGGAATCTTAAGCAGGCTCCATGCCCAGTGCAGAGCCCAATGCGGGGCTCGATCTCACGACCCTCAGATCATGACCGGAGCTGAAATCAAGAGTCGGACACTTCACATGGGCTCTCTTTTTAATGAATGCATCATCTGGTTGCAGAAACATTATCCATACATTTGAAGAATATGATTGAAATGTATAGTGGAATATAGAGTTTTATGCATCATCAAAACTAGTCATATCTACCCCTTTGACAAAAAACTCTTATCAGGAAGGTAAAAGAAAGAGCTGCAGCTGTATGTAGCCTTGCTTTGCGTATATGTTCTCATATGTGTTTTACATGCATTACTCTAGTGAAATAATATGTGCATTAAACATAGACAAAAATTGTAATAAGAAAGAATGGGACAAAATCAATATTCGTAAGAGTTCTAATATTCTGTTGCTGTTCACCCTGTGGGGCCATTTCCTCAGTCTCAAGACAACTGATACAGATGATACATGAATTTTTGGTGCTTGTTGTGGGTTAGGTCATTATATTCCACTTCACTGGTGTGGTAGGTAAGGGTAGTCCATCCTGATGGAAGAGAGAGGGTCACAAAAAGCATTTCCAAATATCAGGGGTAAATTCCATCTTCTACCATAGCTGCAGGTTCTACCATTCCTTAAGCTAAAATGATTTTAATTTTCATAGGGCTTTTTCATCACCTGTACACCAGACAGTGTCCTCCCAAGAGACCCCAATCTCTCCCACCTTTCTCCTTACCAACATTCCAGCCCCTTGTCTTCTCTTCCTGCTCTTTCTTCCATTTGAAGAGTTTCCTTTCCAAACTCATCAAAGGTGTTAGATTCAGCCTCTTTCCTAAAATGCCAGTTTATGGTCTGAAAAAAGTCAAGTACCTTGCCCAAGTTCAAGCAGACTGTGAAGAGCGGGGTAAGAACTTGTGTTGCCTCTACCACTGGTATTGTCTTAAGCTTAGAATCAGTGTGATAATGATACATGGAGTAGTCACTCAACAGGCCACCTGTTCTGGGACAGACATTGTGCTAGACTGTGCGGACATACTGGTTAATAAGATGGGCTAGTATCCTATAGAATAAGAAGCTCATATTCTAAAGGGGAAGGATGTGAAATAAACAAGCATGCAAAAAAAGCACAAAAAACAAAAAACAAGGAAATCTCAGATAGTGGTTAAGAGTTTGGTAATTCAAAAGAAAAAAACCTTGAGTGGTAAGATAGATATTTGCTGGGAGGTGGGGTGTATTATTTAGGTGACCAGGAGATTGTCTCTGAAGATGTGGTATTTGAGCTGAAACCTGGATTATATAAAAGAGCTGGTGTGAAAGCATGGGGAAATTCTAAGCAGGTTGTAGGACCGTAAGGTGTAAGTAAACTTGTTGTGTCTAAAGAACATAAAGACAATTATGGTAGCTGGATCATAGTGAAAAAGGGGGACAATAGCATGAGATGAGGTAGGCACCATGTAGGACCAGGTAAACCAGGATAATGTTTGGATTTCATGGTAAATGCATTAAGAAGTTGAAGGATATTTTTAAACTGGGGAGTGACATGGTCTTATTTACATTGCTTAAAGATCACTCTCCATGTGGAGAATGGATTCTAGAATAATGGAAGTAGCAGCAGGGACACCAGTGAGGAGGCAAGCAATGGGAGTACTATGGACCAGGATTATAGCAATAGAGTCAGAAGAAGTTGTGATGGAAACAGAAAGATTCTTTGGTGGACTTAATGTTGGCAGTTTGGGAAAGAAGAAAATCAGAAACACGTGAGTCTGGGGCTAGAGTCATATACTAAGCATACAGAGTGTGCTGTCATGTACTTAGAAACGCGAGAATGGAAATCTGAGGGGCGGGGAAACCATAAGATCTGATTTGGCCACATTAAGTTTAAGGTATATATTTAAGATCTAAGTAAAGGTGTCCAGTAGGCTGTTGGATTCATGAGTCTGGAGCTCAGTAGAAAGGCAAAATCTAGAGAGAACTTTGCGAGTCAAGAACAAATAGATGGTGGGGCGCCTGGGTGGCACAGATGGTTAAGCGTCTGCCTTCGGCTCAGGTCATGATCTCAGGGTCCTGGGATCGAGTCCCGCATCGGGCTTCCTGCTCCTTGGGAGCCTGCTTCTCCCTCTGCCTCTCTCTCTCTGTCTCTGTCTCTCATGAATAAATAAATAAAATCTTTAAAAAAAAAAAAAAAAAAAAAAAGAACAAATAGATGGTGTTTAAAGCCGAGAAATGGAATGAGAGGGGCCCCTGGGTGGCTCAGTAGTTAAGCATCTGCCTTTGGCTCAGGTCATGATCTTGGGATCCTGAGATCTAGCCGCACATTGGGCTCCCTGCTCAGCGGGGAGTCTGCTTCTCCTTTTCCTTCTTCCACTCCCCCTACTTGTGCTCTCTCTGTCTAATAAATAAATAAATTCTTTAAAAAGAGAGAGAGAGAAATGGAATGAGACCATCAAGCATGAATGAAAATATACACTCAGAGAAGAGATGAAAGTCGGGGTTATTCCAGCAGTTATAGATGAAACAGGAAGAGGATGTAGAGTAGGGGGCTGAGAAGGAGTGGCCAGTATGGTATACCTTTGTGCTTTTAAAAAGAAGGCACCCAGTGGCCCCCAAATTGTATTTGCTCAATCACTCAAACATCTACCTGAGCATATACCCTGGAATAGCACTAAAGTAGATTTGGGATATAAAAATTATTCAGACTCAACCACCTATTGGGAAAGAAAGATGGAAACATAAATGTTTGCAGTACGGTTTAGTAGCTTGCTTTCTTTCCTTTTCTTCTTTAGACCTGTAATACTGCAACTTGTTGCCTGATATCTTAGCAAAGACAACCCCAAAGACAACAACTACAAACAGGGACATCGATTGCCCGTCCTACTCTTCCTCTTTCCCAGACTTTACCAAGATGAGATTGCGATCACCTAAAGATGTGCGGGGTGAGTAAATTGAACATTTTTTTTTTTTAAGATTTTATTTATTTATTCATGAGAGACAGAGCGAGAGAGAAAGGCAGAGGGAGAAGCAGGCTCCCAAGGAGCAGGGAGCCCGATGCGGGACTCGATCCCAGGACCCTGAGATCATGACCTGAGCCGAAAGCAGAAGCTTAACCATCTGAACCACCCAGGCGCCCAACTTGAACATTTTTGAGAGACCATGAAGACACCTAATGTTCTTAGAGGTAGGAGGAAGGAAGCTGCTGCATTCGGCTGGGTGGTGGGCAAGGCCATGGTGAGAGGGGACGGGGCCCTGAGAAGAGGGGTCCAAGTTGAGTCCAGCTTGAGTTTTCTTCCCAGTGTCCTAAGAGAGCTTATAACCCCTCCCTACCTCCTCACCATTGTGTCCCCTTATGTTCTGCTTTCCTCTATGGGACATTAATTGAACTAAACAACATACCCCAACCATATATTGTGTTTATTATGCAGGTAACGTAGATTCTCCAGTGGTTTCTACACGACTCTGTATGAAAACAGGGGTGAAAACTCAGAACGCCTCATCTGACCAGGCAAATAATAAATGATCATGGCTACCATGTATTGTACACCTACTATGCGCCGGGAACATTTTGATGGTATTTACACATATTATTTCATTTAGTCTTTCCAAAAGCAATGAGTGAAACAGCCTTGGAGAGGCAAACCTGAGAATGTTTGTACCTCTGAAGGAGAAGCCATGCCTCTATCTACCGTTTCCCTGCGAAAAAGGGGGCCCTGATGTGGCACATTATCTATAACTTTAAAGATGGAATCTCTAGATTTAAAAAATATTGGCTATGTATGTATATATACACACATCATGCATATGTGTATATATACATATATTAGATATGCATATTATTTTTATATATGCATGTTACTTTATATATGCATATTTCACATGTACATTGTAGTTTGTATGTACATTTTATTTTATATGCATACTTCATTTTACATATCGTATCATATCATACTCTGTGAGAGCCAAAGCAGGCATATTTGTGGGCTGCTTCTGAACTCAGTAGGCAACCTCTGGGGCATAAGGTATACAGTCTGTACCGGGTTGGTAAGAAAGCCTTAGGGTTGGGGGAGCTGTTATATGACAGGGCATCTGGCTCTTCATTTCTTTGTTCCATGAGGGCCTGGATTGGCCTAGAAGCTAGCTGCCTGCTAAATAATGCTCTGCTGGGCTTCACCTGTGTATCTCTCAGGTTTATTGCAATATTAGGGGCTCAGTGAATGCTGTTAAAACTGAACCTCAGGCTGGGCCTGCTCACAGGGAAACGGGGACCACACACTGCTCTTCCCTACTTCCGATCCTCATGGGAACACCTGACCCAGCTCAAGAACTAATTATGTATGTGATATCCACAAGACTTTCTATCTATGTATTTATTCACACTAGGTATAAATGCTTGATAAGAATAGAAATGGGTATCCTTAAAGGGGACATTTTCAAGTTGACAGGGATTGGTGCCTTTTAGTAGCTTTTAAAAGGTGTTCTTTGGGGCACCTGGGTGGCTCAGTCAGTTAAGTGTCTGCCTTCAGCTCAAGTCATGATCTCAGAGTCTGGGATGGAGCCCCACATGGAGCCCCAGGTTGGGTTCCCTGCTCAAAAGGAATCTGTTCTGCCCCTCCCCCTGCTTGTGCTCTCTCTCTCTCCAAATAAATAAATAAAATCTTTTTTTTTTTTTTTTTAAAGTGTTCTTCCAAGCCCCCAGAAAGCTGAAAGAGGGAGGGTGAGGACACATCCTTCTCCTTCCACCCAGCACCCCTCCATAAATCACCCTGGCTGTTTATTTTTGCTATTCACTGAGGCTCTGAATCATATTTCCTTTGAAAAGGAGGGTTCTTTGGCACTGAGGAAAGTTATCTGAAAAATTAAATTTAAGCATCAATTATTTTTAATCTCCACTTCCTGTGAAAGTCGTGGGTTTTTTTCCTGCTCATGAATAAATCCTCGAAAAATAGAAAGATGCGAAGAGTTAGAGTAGCCACATCTCCCCCCCCCCCCCCCCCCGCCCCAGGGCACAGAACTATAGGCTCGAACTTCTCAGCTGGAATTCGGGGATGGTGAGCCTCCCTCTAAACTTCTAACACGAGGCACATGCTGTTTTCTGACAGGATGCTTTCTTGCCCATCTGCTCGGGAGCGACATGCCAACTGGACACGGCCAGGCAGGAGAGCCAGTGGTGCTGGGACTGAGGGACTGAGTCAGCGCTAGGACCCCGCTCCTGCAGCAGTCCCTGCATCAGGGCAGACTGATGACAAGAGATCACATTTGTGGATACTGTAGAGAAAGAACGAGCAGCAAACATCCAGATCCTGTGCCCCATTTCCTAGTTCACCTCTCTTCTGGGGATCGGCTGACTGGGGGTGGGAGGGGGTAATGGAGACTTCCCTGTTTGCCTACATTCCCTTTGAAAAAGAACAACTGGTGTCCTTTTTCTTCCCTATGCGCCATGTAGGGAAACCATTGCAGCCGGTCCCAGAGCAAATCTCTTTATTTTGCAATTGAATCTTGGTGTACGATCAGGTGAGGTCGGGTGTCATAAAGCTAAAGAGAAACAAGTGGGTGCTTGAGAAATTCATGGACTTGCCTTTGTGTGTTCTCTCCTTGTCTCCTCTTTTGTCTCCCCTCCCTTTCTGTTGACATCTGCTGAGTTCATTTTATGGAAATCTGGGAGCCCCTGACCTCAGTCCAATGCAGGCATTCTCCCAAGGGGGTACTGGCAGCCACAGAGACCTGCAGGGTGAATGGTTACTGATCCTCTGTGAAGCTGGCCCATATATGTGCCTATCCCCCTATGTGCTCTGTGAAATATGTGCGTGCAAGCTCATGTTCTCCCACGGCTCTTCAGTGCGCGTTATATGCTCTAGTTCAAGGGCTACTTTAATTATCTGCTTCTGACTCCCCATGAATATCATTAATTGAAAAATACCCCACTGCATTTGTTAAGTACACTGTTGTGGCTTTCTTGATAAATGTGGGGTTTCCTAGGCGTTTCCGAATGTAGGAAAAAATTGTAGGATTTCCACTGCTCCCTCTGAGAGTTCTTAAGAGCTTAAGAACTATAAGAGCTATGAGGACCCCAGTTTGGGGGTCACTGTTATATGTGATGGTGTCCTGGACAGGACACCCAGAGATGTGGACTCTGGTTGATCCACAGCTCAGGACCTGGGCCCAGAATCTTTCTTTTCTCCTCCATAAAGGGAAGTACAGATGCAGTTTTAGGTAAGGCCCTTTCTGGACCCATGGTTTTGCCTCTCCTGGATCTGTGCCCTGGGGGACGAGTGGGCAGATATCTACCTATCTTGGGGCCATCTCTAGCTCTCTCTCCAGCCACAGCTTCTTCTGATGGGAAGTGTGTAGCTCTTTTCCCATTCCACGTGTGCAAACCAACAGAAGAACCCTGGAAAATCCTGAAGGAGATCCCAGAGGTGTGCAGGAGGGAACCGAAGGTCAGAAATTTGATCTTCTGCTTGGGAAGCATGAATGACCAGCAATGCACATTTCTCCCTCGAAGAGCTCTCCGAGATTAAATGCCTCTGAACTTGACGACATCAAAGACAACTCAGGGTGTGGGGCTGTGTTGTGGGTGTATCATCCCCTGTTATCACTACTTAAGTCTTTCTTCAAACATGGTATTGAGTCCAAGAGTCTGCTTAATTATTATTAAACTAAAAACATGTTACATTCCAAAGATATTTTGGAAACAATAGATTTGGATATTTACTGGTGGCTTCCATCATTTCAACAAACTTGTATTTAGGGAGCAGCTGGTGTCTGCAAGCCTAAACTATAAAACTGGTGTTTAGAGATGAAGTTGATAATTCTCCCACTCATTTACAAGATTACACTTAGGGGAAAGATTTCACCTGAGCGTGCCTCATGCCAGAAGCCAAAGAAACGCACAAACTTGGAAAAATCTGGGACATGTATGCCATGTACTTAATGTATGGGGTGATTTTTGTCTGGGGTAAAAATAAACAACTATTGAGTGGATGTGGATGTGGCGAAAATCTGATTCCAGATGGTGGGTGCATGTGTATGTTAAGAATGACATTGGTGGGGGCGCCTGGGTGGCTCAGTTGGTTAAGCGACTGCCTTCGGCTCAGGTCATGATCCTGGAGTCCCTGGATCGAGTCCCGCATCGGGCTCCCTGCTCAGCGGGGAGTCTGCTTCTCCCTCTGACCCTCCCCCCTCTCATGTGCTCTCTCTCTCTCATTCTCTCTGTCTCAAATAAATAAATAAAATCTTAAAAAAAAAAAAAAAAGAATGACATTGGTGATAGAGATCATGATAAAAATAACCCAATTGAAATCTAGCAGGAAAACATCTTTTAAAATTATAGTAAATTCTTAACTAGTTGGGTCACTTCTAGTGGAATCAACAGAATGAATCTCACAGGTCTTTTTCAAAACTCTAAATTCCACGATTCTATGAAGACCAAATTAAGAAAATGTTAATGGGGTATGGAGCAGTGTGTAATCCTAGAAGTTCTAATTCTAATTACTTAAACTAAAATGATGAGTGTAGTTTTATTGCTATCATAGGTGAATCTAGTATCCAAAGAAAGGTTTACATGAAGAGCAACACATCTCTAATCCTCTCCTGGATGGACATGAACCAGATGGGCAACAGGCTGGTGACCCTTAGCCTTTGATGGTGTGAGGTCAGGTGGAGAGGGAGGGAGGATTTGCTCCAGGCTGTACTCCCCAGGACAGCCCTGACCATAAGCCCCTGTTGGCAGAATCACCACAGCACAGAATTTAAGCTTAGAGATGCACAACCTGGCTTTAAATCCTAATCACCTCTGTGTCCTTTTAACCAGTTACTCCATTTCTCCAAATTTCAGTTTCTTTCTTTGTAAGTAGGTAATTAAAATTGCCTTTCTGTGGGGATTAAATGAAATGATAGGTGTCAAGTATCTGACACACAGCGAGTGTTGGAGAAGCATGCTAATGTTATTATTGTCATCTGTTTATTTTACTTAATTACCTTGAAACTAAAAGAAAAGTTAATTTGGGCACTTTACCAAAAGTCCCTGCATGAACTCAAGATATCACTGGTGATAGAATTATTTTTCCTTCTCAAATTAAAACTTTTTCAAAACACCAATGAGAGGAGAGACAATCTGTAAAGACTTGAAACCTTAAGTTTTTATTTTTGGCATGTCTTGGGCCTGCTTACTTTTTTTGTATTTTTTTTTTTTTTTAAATACGTTATGAGCTTTATGGAATTGGAAAAAGGATTAACAGCCTAAAAAAATATATAGGCTTTATAAATCCACTTAGCTTGAGAATGACTTTCTGGGGCAACTGGCCTTTCCAAAATAAATTTGCAAACTGTATCCTTATTAAAAAAAATTGGAATTTGGCGAGGCAAAAGAATTTGGGCCGTATCAGCTTGTCATTCCAAATTTAAAAATATTTAGTCTTACTTCAAGATAAATAGCAACAATTGAACTTAAGCCACTAGGAAAAATAAACATACAACGTCTTGAAAATGTACAAATAACTAGATGGTTTAAAAAATGTTATCAGAACTGTCTTTACTGCTAACAAGGTCTAAATGAAACCGTGGCCATAGATAATGTTTGTTTCTTGCCTTGTGACTGTCCTGACAGGGGGTTGTCCAGTCGGGGAGTAGATGAAGCTTAGCATTCACAGGCCTTGGGAGCCATGGATGGAGAGACTCCAGCTGTCTGCCAACCAGAACCTGGCAGATCTTTGGCAAGGTGGTTGACAACTCTTACCCGGAGACAATCGGGAAGTCTTGGGGAGAAGGTAAGATTTGAACTGAGTCTTAAAGAACGGTAGGACAAGATTATACAATCCCCCTCCAGAGGTAACAATTTTCCTTCCTTCCCTCTCTCCACCTTCTCCACCTTCTCCACATGCTTAGAGGCATGAAGGTTGGAACCCATGGATGATCATGGCAGACGGGTGATCATAGGAAAAATCAACTTGACCTCTGAAAGCCCTACTTGAGTGTGGTACAAAACCGGTATCGAGGGAGAGCCTGACACCGATGATGATTTCCTGAGGTGACCTTGTCTTCCTCAGCTTACCTGATTAAGCGCAGAGCTCGAGTGAGCCTTGAATTTGAATCTCTCCATCGCCACCTGTTACCTATGGCCCTGGGGCCACACATGTGCTGCTCTTTGACTGCCATCTTTCGCATTTGTAAAGTAAGTATGTGAGAGTTGGATTATTGTGAGTCTATGTGATTTATTATTATAATAATTATTGTTATTATTTTTTAGCCTGCAGTCAGCCAAGTACATTGCCCTAGTAGGTAGTTTTATTTATGTACTAATACTTACTTTGAGTCTAGTTTCTTCATGAACTCAGCTAAAATCACAGGTGCCACAGACCTATGTCCTATGATACCGTATTAAATCTAGGACACTTTTTTCGAGTCAGGGATAATTTTTTTTTTTTTTTAAATCTCAGGAACCTCTATTACCAGAGTTTAATTGGATAATCACTTCAAGGAATATCTGGGGTCATTTTGTTTACAGGAAACGGGTTTAAGAGAATGCTTTTAAAGACATACTTCTTTTCAGCTTGATATAACTTTTCAGTACTCAGTACGCAGAGTTTTCCATATTAAGATTTATTCTCTCTAAAAGCATTAATAAGTACAGAATTAAACCATAAGGTAATAATTTAAATGATTGCTATGAAAAATGTGACATTTTTTAAAATCCAAATTTCTAATAATTTCCTGTTGTTTTAAAACTCATAATACTTTTGACTTATAATAATCAAACTGGAATTTTCGTTCTAACCACAAGTAATGATATCTCAAACAGGAATCATAGAACACAGAACAAAAATTTTGAAAACAGTCTGAGTTATGGTCAGAGCAGCAAAATTGTGAAAAAATAAAAATCTCCATCACTTGGCTGTTTTGACATATTTTCTCCTGCTGATAACACAAATACGAAAGAATTGACTGGATATGTCTGATCTCATACAGACAATTGACTAACTTAACAGAATACCTATTGCCTTAATATCTATGGATCCCTGGATTGAGCAAACAAGACCTAATCTAAAATAAGAAGAACCAGAGGTGCCTGGGTAGCTTAATCAGTTAAATGTCTGCCATTGGCTCAGGTCTTGGTTCTGGAGTCCTGGGATCGAGCCCCACATCGGGTTCCCTGCTCAGCGGGGAGTCTGCTTCTCCCTCTCCCTGCTCATGCTCTCTGTTGCTATCTCTTTCTCAAATAAATAAATAAAATCTTAAAAAAAAAAAAAAACAAGAAGAACCAGATTATACTTTATGCCTTTCCCCCTTTTTAATATCCACAGTTGTTGTTGTAATAACTGTTGTAGTTATCTTCATTGACAAACTTGAGATTGTTCTGGTAACTGGTCCAGTTCCCTGACTTCAAAGCAAAACACGTGGCACACACTGGGAGGATCATATTCCCCTTTCCTTGAAACCAGAGTTGTTGGCACTGAGGGGGGGCATGTGGCCCAAGCTGGACCTATCAGAATTCTTTCCTGGGGTTTGTTTTACTGCAACTAGCAGAGAATACAGTTCTTCTTTCCTGGGTTGATAAAGATGTGACTCCATGACTCAGGATGTGCAATGAAGGACTAACCTTGCCTACGGAAATGTTAGACCATTTGCCCCCAGCTCCAAGGAGGTAATCTTTAAACCCTTGGAGTGTCCTGCCTGATAAGAGTGTCTTTGTTTTCCTAAGGGTCTTGAACCAGGCCAGATATTTGATGCTAATAATGTAATTTTTGGTGGAAGGCCTTGGGCCATGTGGTACCTACCAATCCAAGCTTTAGAGGGGCTAGAGACTAAAGTTATTCACATGAGTGATCAGCCTGTCTACATAGCCAACTCCTAATAAAAACTCTGGATAACAAAGCTTGGGTGAGCTTTCCTGGTTGGCAGTATTATGTACATGTTGCCATATATTGTCACTGAGAGTAATATGTGCTATCCACACCATTCCACTGGGAGGGAATGATTGGAAGCTCTGTGCCTCAGCATGTGTTGGGTCCTGCCCTATGCGCCTCTTCCTTTTGTTGATTTTAATCTATAGACTTTCTCTGTGATAAAACTATAACCACAAGTATAATGACTTTCCTCAGTCCTGTGAGTCTTCTACTAGTGAATTATTGAAACTGAGGGTGGTTTTGGGGAACCTCTCAGACATTATCCAGTACATCTGTGTTCTCCATTACTGGAGAAAGTTCTCCACCATACTGGTGAAAGGCTCAGAGAGAGAAGCAAAGATGAGAAATAGGATAGATGAATGGAAGAGATGAGGATGAGAGAGAATAGTATTGCGTGTATGGTTCTAATCCTTGAGACCCTTCGAGGTACCTTATTCATTTAGTTATTTCTTTGAATCTGTGGATTACCCCAGTATATTTCCAGTAATCCAGTCTTTCTCCCTTTCTCACTTTCCTTCAAACAGTTTATACTGCATTCCTGAAAGTTTTTAAATTACTATATCATTTTCCAATTTCAGTTATATTTAGTTAAAAATATGCCATTTTCCATCCTTAGAGAAGTGAGTATGATTAGTAGTAAAATCCAAACAAAATAAAGCCTTGTAAATATTTTTGGACCTGTCCACAAAGTTCTTGAAAAATATACTCATTTCCAGTAAATTAATCTAGAAATGTGGATGTTACTTTGATAGGCCTCTTGAACCCCCAAGTTATTTCTGAGCTCCTGTTAGAATAAGAGATTTGAAAACAGAACTTAGTATAGTCTGCTAGTTTCATACTTTTTGTGAGAATTTTCTAATATATAATTTTCTGCATTTTGAGCTCTCAGCATTGCTTTTGTGAAACAAGAGATAGAGTTTCATCTCTAGGGATCTAAAGCTAAACATTAGTGATGATGCTCAAAAGAGACTATTCTAAACCCAAAGAGACTATTTTTATAGAAAATATTACATTCTTCCACTACTAAATCCCAAATATTAACCCACAGAAGAGCAATTAGCAAGTATGTCATCTATAAAAAGTATGAACATTTAGACATTTATATTGTAACTATTTATCATTCTATTGATGGGGAATGGACCACATTCATTTCATGCCTGATAACCAGTCTAGGAATGATAATTGAATTTCCACAGGTATTATCAGAATTCCTTGAGTTTTTTGGAAACAAAAGGAACTTTCTTAATTTGATAAATTTATCTTCAAATACTTAAAAAAAAATCATGTTTGATGCGAAAGTATCAGGAATAGTCCCTTCAAAGTGCAGAATAAGACAATGAGGTTCCTTATTACTGTCTCCAGGTCCTAGACAGCACATTATACAAGTATAAGAAATATGAACAGTATTATTGGAATGAAAATATTATCATGATTACAGACAGTTTCATTTTTTTGATAATGTAAAAGAATTATGGAAATTTGACAGATACAAGGTCAAAATTTAAATATAAATACATGAAATTAATTGTGTGGTTAAATACCAGCATAACTGATCAGAAAATATAATCTTTCAAGGATTCCATGCCCAATACCCTCCAACTATGGAAGAATAAATCTAAGAAAAGAAATGGATGATCTGAGTGGAGATTATTATACAATAGTATTGAAAAGACACAAAAAAAGACTTACATAAGTGGAGATACATAGATGAGAAGATTTATTTTCCTAAAGAATTATTCCAAACTAATCTAAAATTTTCATTAAAATCTCAACTTTTTTTTTTTTTTTTTTTTTTTTTTTTCCCACAGAGCTAGTCAGTTAGTATGGAACTAATTCATGCATCTTAAAGAGTCAGGGCCCAAAATAGCTCAGGTGCTTTTGAAAAGAAAGAATAATAAGCAGCACACACCCAGTTAGGGATGCAATTATTTTAAAGCTATCATACTCAAAATAATGTTCTGGTGGTAGGCTAAAATGCCTGAGACAGACCCACATAGACATGGGGAGTGGATAAGAGGTGGTCTTACACACCAATGGGGAGAGAACAGGCTTGCTTGTGAAAGGAAACAGATATAGATATACATATACAAAAATTAACTTCAGATGTTAAAATCAGGAAGCAAAGTTTTAAAATTCTTTTTTTTAAGATTTTATTTATTTATTTGACAGTAAGAGAGAGAGAGTACAAGCAGGGGGAGAGCGGCAGGGAGAAGGAGAAGCAGGGAGCCTGATGTGGGGCTCGATCCCAGGACCCTGGAACCATGACCTGAGCTGAAGGCAGGCGCTTAACCGACTGAGCCACCCAGACACCCCGAAATTCTTAGACAAAAATGAAAGAGAATATATTTATGATGTCACGAGAGGAAATAATTTTTTAAACATGAGAAGTGCAAATCTGAAAAAGATTAACAAATTTGATCAGATTAAATTAAAATTCTTCTATGAAAACTCTTCTCTTTGTTTACAGACACCCCATAATATTTTTAAAATCCTACATTCTAAGATTATAGATTTTAACACTTCTAATTCCTATCAAGGACATATTAAAAAGTCTTCCAAATTAATCAAAGATAAGTAGTCCCTGGAAAAATGAGCAAAGCCTATGAACGTCAATCTGAAATAGGCAACCTGAATCAACCAGAAACATTTGGAAAAAATGCACCCCTTCCCCTTGCTCTGTGATGAGGGGGATACAGATTAAAATGAAAAAGACAGATTGTTTCATACTCAACAGATTACCAAAAAAAGTGGAATCTAGTAATACCAAATATTGGAGAAAATGTGAGGAAAGGGGAGTTTTCATATACTGTTGTAGGGGCTGTAAATTAGAGCAATCACTGTGGAAATAATTTTATAATAGGTATCGAAGCAGAAGAATCTCATTCACTATGACCAGCAATTCCACCTCCTGATGTATTACGTTAGAGAGAGCGGCACCCTGTACATCATAGCTTATGACACTGGATAACTGGAAACAACCTGAACGTCTGTCAGCAGAGGAATTCATGAACACAGTTTATTCCCACAAGGAATACTATATAGCAGTTAAAATTAATGACGTAGCTCTCCCAGTTGTTCATTCATTGACTATATCCTCCATTCTTCCACCACTGGCCTCCTTCTTTGGGGATTTTTTTTTTATTTGTGGTTCCCTCTCTCTGGAACATTCTTTTCTCCAGATACCCTTATGCATCATTCCTGTGCTTTACCTGGTTTTCTGCTCTCATGTTACCTCCTTGGGAAGACCTTGTGTGAACACGCTATGAAACATGACACCTCCCCGACCCGGATCATCCTTTGAGCTCCTATATTTGCACCGGGGGCTTCTCTTTGCCCTACAAAAATAGATTCTGTTTCTGGGAGGGCATCTGTCACTCAGGGGACAGTGGGTAAGTATTTGTTGAAGCAATACATAGATATTTGTATACATTTCGATGTTTACGGGCCCCTTCAGGGGATTTAAGTGCTCCCTCACATTCATGTTTTCCTGTGGAAACAGACTGGGCGGATCTTCCTTCCTACTGCGAACCGTCTCCCAGAACCCTGGATGAGCAGAAGCATGAAGGGCAAGAGGTAGCCTGTGACCCTCCAGCCTCCTTATTCCCTTGCAGCTTGCTTTCCTGGGACCTTCCACGAGGTGCTCTGCACAAGGACAAGGGACCCATCCAGGAATAAGACTGTGCCCAGTGGGGGAGAGCTGGCTGTGTCCTCTGAGGACACGCATGGAAGCATGAGCAAGACAAAGAACCTGTGCTCAGATCCCAGTGAACTCGTCCGCTTCTCCTTGAACTTTTTGCAGTATCATCTGTGCTGGAAATGATCATTTAAAGCCACAGTCTAGCATAATGTTTACATCCCGAGGGTTGGAACTGGAGTCATTAAGTCTTTCAAACAACAAGGTAATGTTCAACGACTGCTTTTCTAGGAGGGGGCGTCATTTAGCACACTGCAGGGTGCTGATGCAAGCTTGCATCCTGGGAACCTGAAAGCCTTGGTACCTCTTCTTTGACCTAGGGTTCACCTTGTCTTCTCAGGAGTAGCGTGGGAGTGTGATCTCCTCATTTTCTTAAGTTACATAGCTAAATTTTCTTTGACGTGTGTCAGTGGGAAGAATACAGGCTCTGGGATAAGGTAGACCCGGGTATGTGTTGTAGCCATATTACTTCCTAGCCGTGTGACCTTGAACAAGTTGTTTCCTTTCTCTTGATCTCCTTTCCCTTTCTTCACCTAAGTGATGGAGTTATCAAACTTCTCTTACCTCTAAGTGATGGAGTTATCAAACTTCTCTTACGCTTGATACATTGAAATAGTAGATGTAAGGCATCACGCCGGTCCAACCTGGACAGGCAAAAAGCGTGCTTTCTGGTATAGCTTGCATCCTACCCCTCTCTGTGGACATATTAATTCTCCTTCGCACAACTCACAGGTGTTTACATTGAAATGAACATTCTCTTCCACAAGCCCAGAGCTGTGAGGATTTTGTGTTTCTCCAGTTGGCTGAGTGAGGTAGAGGGCAAAGAAAATTACGTGATTTTAATAACCAGTAGCACTCATGTCTTCATGGCAATCTTCTCGTAACCAGATAACTTCCTTCTAGCTGCATGTGTGAGCTAAATTTACCTAGTCAGCGAAGAAGTGAGAACGAAATGAAATGGGAAGAAAGCCTGCCTCTAGATATTGAATATCCTTTCCTGGGAGAGACTTAAACAAAAATTAAAAACGTAAAGTCTTCATTTTGAGGGATTTCACCACAGCTGATATTCAGAATCATACTGATAGACCTCCATTAAACATCAACCAGTCTAGAAAGCCCTTATCCAACATGATTGCCTAATAACTAAATGAAAGAAACCAGATGAAGATCACTTCATTTTGATGAAGATACCCACGCTAATTAAAGATGAGTTTGAAGCAAAGAGGAGTGAGTCTTAACCCCTTTCCCCATTTTTCAGAGCCTCTGTGAATGCCACGAATGAAGAGGTTTTAACAACATATTGGTTTTTTTTAAACAGTCTCGTACTTGGATATAGCTGTTCTTGGAAATAGCCATAGCTTGGTAAACAGGTTCGTTCACTTGTTTAATGCCCCGATCTGTACTCCTGGTTACTGCCTTCTCTTGAACTTCTTTCAGCTTGCTCTACTCCGTTGTCATCCTTATATATGCAGAATGTCCTCATTCAGCCAATTCATGTTGAAATTGAAACTTTTCAAGATAGTTTTGTTTAATCATCATTCCTGCACATACCCTCTTCTAACCGTTATGTAATCTTGGGCTAGAACAGTGATTCTCTAGCAAAATAGAGAATCACTCCTGCATCATTCCTGCACATATCCTCTTCTAACCTTTATGTAATCTTGGGCTAGAACAGTGATTCTCTAGGAAAATAGAGAATCACTCCTGCATCATTCCTGCACATACCCTCTTCTAACCTTTATGTAATCTTGGGCTAGAACAGTGATTCTCTAGCAAAATAGAGAATCACTCCTGCATCATTCCTGCACATACCTTCTTCTAACCTTTATGTAATCTTGGGCTAGAACAGTGATTCTCTAGCAAAATAGAGAATCACTCCTGCATCATTCCTGCACATACCCTCTTCTAACCTTTATGTAATCTTGGGCTAGAACAGTGATTCTCTAGCAAATTAGAGAATCACTCCTGCATCATTCCTGAACATACCCTCTTCTAACCTTTATATAATCTTGGGCAAGAACAGTGATTCTAAGTCCCAGGGGGGCATTTGGCCATATCTGAGGACAGTTCTGGCTGTCACAACTGGGTGAGAGCAGTGGTAATGACATCAACTGGAAGAGGCCAGGAAACGTACTGGAAAGCACAGGACTGCCCCCCATAACAAAGACCTAGCCAACTTAAAATGTTGAAAACTCTGAGGTAGGGTAACTACAGACTTTTTCCATCAAAGCTGGACATTCTGGGGAGTGAAAGATGGTGCTCTTAACAATGAAGCTTAGATAGCAGGTGTAATCTGGGACTTAGTATTGCAGGTATATGGGATCTGTGGTCCCCTATCTTGAGTTTGTTTTCTTTTGGATTGATGAAGTATTGTTTGTAAGTATCATTATAATTTGCTTTCTTGACTTGTTGTGAGGCCTTTTTCACTGGTTGGACTCTTAGCTACCCAAAGATAGGAGGTGCAGCCTCTGTATCTTTCCCTTCTCCTTCTAGAACTTTATACAGAATACCTACTTGATAAAACTTCTTGACTGTGCTTATTTGTAATCTCTGCTCACAATTGGGTCCTTGACAAAACCCACTATAAACTTCTCAACTATCAATTATATTATACATCAAAAATGTGGGTGAAATGATGGAGAAGAATTCAACAAATAGCACTGCTCATAATTAGAGAAGATTCTACCTTCTATGATATGTAATTTGATGAAATATGCTAAGCAAAGTACAATCCCTATAATTGGTACTCATTTAAATTACTCATGTTTACTGTAAATGTTTTTACTGTAAAAAAATATGCTCCTATTGAATTAGATAAAATTTTATTATTGAAAGCATGGTTAAACAATTAAAACGAACAAAGACATACAAAGTTCCCCAATTCTTGCTCAGGATCGAGTAGATATATAATAACTGTTAGTTCTGTTTGCCTTCCATTAAAGATAACACTTCAACAATAATATTAAGCCATTTAAATTATTTTATAAGTTTTTAAAGTATCGATTCTAGGGGATTTTTAAAGTTACTGAGATGGTTAAAATTGGTTAGTATAGGGGCGCCTGGGTGGCTCAGTTGGTTACACATCTGCCTTCAGCTCAGGTCATGATCCTGGGGTCCTGGGATTGAGCCACTGCGTTGGGTCCCTGCTCAGCTGCTTGTCCCTCTCTCTCCCTTTGCCCTCCCTCCCACTTGTACCTATGCACATGCACTCTCTCTTTCTCTCAATAAATAAATAAATAAATAAATAAATAAATAAATAAATAAAATCTTTAAAAAAAATTGGTCGGTATGTTAGTTTTGCAGGGCTCTGTAACAAAGTACCAAAGACTGGGTGACTTAAATGACAGAAAGTTATAGTCTCACAGCTCTGGAGGCTGGAAGTCCAAAATCAAGGTGTTGGCAGCTCTGGTTCCTTGTGAGGGCCATGAGGAAGACTCTGTTCCAGGCCCCTCTCCTTGGTCATTGGGAGACATCTTCTTCCCTCTACGTGTATCTCTGTGTCTGAATTTCCCTTTTGTATAAGGACACCAGTCGTATTAGATTAGGGCCCATCCTGAAGAATTCATTTTAACTTGATTACCTCTGTAAAGACCCTGTCCCCAAATAAGGCCCTTTTTTCAGAGGTACGGGGCATTAGGACTTCAATGTATTCATTGAAGAATGCATTCATTCTACCCATCACAGCCGATAATTAAAGAAATGCCATAAAGAGATTATGAGCTACATTTAAATTTTATACAAAGAATAATTTTTTTTTTAAGATTTTATTTATTCATGAGAGAGAGAGAGAGAGAGGCAGAGGCAGAGGGAGAAGTAGGCTCCCCACGGAGCAGGGAGCCTGATGTGGGATTTGATCCCAGGACCCTGGGATCATGACCTGAGCTGAAGGCAGACGCTTAACCGACTGAGCCACCCAGGCGTCCCATACAAAGAATAATTTTATAATACCTTACTATAAAGAGAAAATTGTGGAGTCACTACAGTTTGGAAATATGAGTGATAAACCTCATGTTATTTTAGGCCACTGGAAAATACATTATGGTGGTTTATCCTTAAAGATACGGAAAAGAACTTTCCTGAGGAAATCACATAGATAAAAATGTGAACATCTTTCTTCTGAGCATCTCAAAATACTTTGCCTGTCTTTTAAATTTTTTTTTCCCCTCTCAAAATCTCTTGGGTTGGATATGGGACATCCCATAGGTGAGAAAACTGAGGTGAATGGAAATTAGATCATTTGTTTCACATCATCTTCCCTTTCTAAATGCAGAAATAAATTTGTTCTCTGCATTTGCTTTATTGGAGGTATGTCTGCTTGACTAGTTAGAGCATGACAAAGATTATGGCATTCCAGGACTGTTGATCTTTAAATGGATTGTATTCATGAAATAATCAGGGTGGGGGCAGGTCTGGAGGGCAGCCCAGGGATCTACCAGGATGGGATCTGAGCCAGGTGAGGGTTGTGGCTTTCTCTGAGTGGGGATAGCCGCTGTCTGCCCATTACATCAGGCTAGGAAGAGGAAATTTAAAGATATGTGCCTATCTTTATATAAATTTATGTACAGTATATATAATGCATATATGCATTTCCTCTTCCTATCCTGATGTAGATACATATGATATATTATAGGAATATATTGTGTAGATATATTACAAAATGTGTGTAATATTTTGTATCCCTCTGTCTGACAAGAATGGTGGGCAGGGAACTGGCCCCCCCGCCCCCATCCTACCACTCAGCTTGCTAGTGGACTTTAGACAGGCCCCTTCGCTTCCTGGGCACCTGTTTTCTCAGCTGTGAGATCAGAATATCAGCTGGGGTGCCCGGCTAGGTCCCCTACAACATCACAATCTGAAGAGGGAGGGAGATTGTTCCAAGCATTAAAAGCGATTCTCCCGTGGCTAACCCTCATGCTGGATGGACCCTCAAAGCACAGTCATTAGGTACCCTTGTCCCTGCCCTGTCGCTCACGAAGCCTGGTTGGGGGTGGGGACGCGTCAGTGCTTCTCAAACAAAATGAAGAGTTCTCCAAGACACCTAGCGCTGACCCCTCACCTGGCCCACTAGCCGCCCCTCCCCTCCCCGAGCCCCTCCCCGCACCCCTCCCCCGGCCCCCACGCTGGGATACTCCTCAGCCCCGCGGAGGGCTGGCCTCACCGGCCGCGGGGCTGACACTGTGAACTCTGCAAGTCGGGGAGTGAAAACCTCCGCACCCGGGGTTTGCCTTTCCCGAACAGTTTCAGCGATTGTTAAATGCAGGGAAGTTACAAGGCGCGCGGTCGGGTCGAGGACTGGGCTATTTAAACAGAGGCCCCTTTATCGGCTTCACCCCCTACCGCAGGGCAGCCTCCGCGAGTTATCAGAGTGTCATTAACGGGGGGGACAGCTGCTGGTAAACAAGGAGGATGTCGACACCAGCTCCTCAGTCAACAGGAATTTAGCTGTAATCTGTCCCTTTGCTCAAAGGAACACCACCCGCTCTCTCTCGGTACCGCGCATCATTAATTTATCTCCGTCAACGTTCCGATGGAAGGCTGGCAGTGACTCAGGAAAGCCCGCTGGGATAGAAAATTAATAAGGTGCTAGGGACATTCACCTTAGGTCAATTCGAGGGGACACGGAGAGAAAGAGAAGTTGCTCAGGAGTTCCCTGCTTAGCTGGAAACCGATCCTACATATTTATAAAGGTGAAACTGGAGGGCTGCCAAGCGCCTGCATTTAAGTGATTAACAAATGTTTCCCTTTAAGTGGACACCTCTTGTTCTAAATATATTTGACAAGAATGCAAAGAGTCATCTGGAGGGCACGGAGGGCACCGCTCGGGCCTTCCCTTGCGCGGCCGGCGGGGATCGCGGGCCCGGCGGCCCGCGCCGCTCCCGCTCGGTGCCCGCCGAGTTCACGTCGTCGGTGGGCAGGCTGCCAGCACCAGCGGCTCCCCGCTGTTTAACGACAATGGATTTACTGCTTCTCTGCATATTGGTGTTATTTTGTATAAACAAGGTTAACAGTCCTTTTAAATTAAATGCACCACCTGGTGACTGAATGGGTGACCTTGCCAGCTCTCTACACCTAGCTCGGAGAAGCCCAGGATCTTGCTCTGATTTCTACCGGTAGCTCGGGACGGGATCGCCTCCCCTTCTTATTTAAAGAGAGGGAGGTGTCCGCTCCCTTGCGCTCTGACCCCGCCTCCGGCGACCCGCCCCCACCGAGGTACAGGTGCGCGCGGCAGGTGAGACCGGTCCGACCCCCTTGCCCGTCGCGCAGGTCGGCTCCAGGCGGTGCCCGGAGTCTGCGCGTTGGCCGCCAGCCCTGGAGCCCCGGGACCGCCCCGCTCGGGCAGTCGGTGTCATCGGAGAGTGACAGACGACCCTGTGGGCCCTGCCAAGGCTGCCTCCGAAATAGAGATCTCCAGAGGGGGCAACACCGTGAAAAAGGTCCTTTGTGTTTCACTCTAGCGTGGTATTGATCTAATATAGGCCTCGGCACTTTCCCCACCCTCCAGGAATTTGAACACCTGGAAAAATTCTCCCGGCTTTACATGTGAGGAAATTTAATGGTGTAAACAAACTCGGCAGGAAGCCCCCTTTGAAG